CACACACACACACACACGCAGAGCGTCGACTGGTGTTGCCTATGAAGGGCAGCGGCGGTTTACAGTGGTATTAATTAGGTCTCTGGAGTGAGAGCGCTGGGCTGACTGGCTGTCTGCGCTCAAACATTATCATTTTTTCCCCTGTTTATGAAAGAGCTCCATATGGCAGTGAGCCACGGGGAAGGCTAACTAGGTTTAGAGAAGATGAAGTTTAGAGAAGAGCCTGTTTTCTGTGGAGACTTCAATGATTCATTTAATTGTCTAAAGTGAGCGTAATGTCAACGTGTCTTATTGGCAATGCCGTGCACGTACAGAATCTGCTCTGCAGGTCAAATATCATACCAAACATTTGATGAAAGGGCTGAATTTACTTTGCCTCGGTAAATCGTCTCAAATTAATTAAGTATTAAGTATAGGCATTTACATTTAAATAGCAGTGGATCAAGGCCTCTCTCTGTGCGCTGGCTGGGTTTTCTCTTGTGGGCCACATAAAGTGACTTTTGTGCGTGTGTAGATTTGCTATTTACAAGCTCTACAAGCTCAGCAGAATACAGTATATACATGAGACAAAGGCTTGCTGCTGAATACCTTTACATAAGAAGTCAGGAAATAGACCAGAGCAGATGAATGCCAAAGAACACAGAGAGCAGATTAGAGGGGCGCTGTAAGAGAAAGAAAGGGAGAGGGAAAAAAAAAATCGAAAACAAGATCAGATTTATGGGTGTCTTTTCAACAGAGCCGTCTAGCTGCATTATCCTCGCCGGAACATAAATCGTGAAAGCGATGTGGAACGCAGAAGCATAACTCAGGTTCTCCTCTTCTGTGCAATGACTGGTGAAACAATGTCTGGCGGGAACTGCACTGCCCGTCCTGTCGCTCCTTTCCTCTTTACTGTCATTCATGCCCCTCCTATTCTCTCTCTTTCCTCTGCTTTCTTTCTCGTGTTTCTCTCTCTCTCTCTCTCCCTTTGACTCCCTGTCACTGTTTGGTTTCTCCGCTCCGTTGAGCTGATGCCATTCAGAGGGCAAATGTCACAGAGAGAGAGAAGTGTTTCGTCATTCTCCTTCTCACTTCTTTTTCTAAGCTCGAACAGCCTTCGTTCTGATTTCCAGAGCCGCTGCTCTCTCTCTCTCTCTCT